GCAAACCATCCCAAGTGGCGACTCTGAATAAAATAAATAAATAAAATAATCTCATTTCGAATAATGTCACTTAAAATGGGAAAACTCCCTTGTACTACCTTCGGGTGTGTAAGAAGGAGGTGTGACAGCTCTGGCGACTCCGCTGGGGATCGAACCCAGAACTCCGGTTCAGGGTTTAAGAATTCGAGCTTAGAATAGCTGTTGTAGTCGGCTTTGTCTATTATCTAAATTTTGTACATGTTTGAGCCTAATGTTTTTACCGCTTTGATATTTTATGAATTGTATATAAACTGCTATGAAACCCTTCCTCTTTGTGAGTCTTCTAAATCATGGATAAGGGTGCACTTCGTGTGACTTCTCTTCTGTCTAGAGTCTTATCCCATTTTAGAACAAGGTTCGGACAAGTTGCAAAGCCGGTGAAGCTTCTGTATTCCCGGTACGCTGCCCCCCTCGGCTCGAGTTGTCCGCTCGGGTAAGCGAGGTCTAGAACAATACACCCAGGTTTTAAACCTAGTATAACAAAACTTCATGCCGGATCCCTAGTAGGAACATTTGTTTGCATCACGAACATTTGACTTTGGAGACTCAACACAGGGGTTGGGTCTGTCTAGGATAGGTGCACCCGAAATGAAAAGACCATCCTGATGCATCTTACTTGCCACTTATGCATTTATTTGCTTCGGATTTGCTGTTGACCGGCTTATGGATAATAGGAGAAAAGTTGGAAAAAGGAAAAGTCAATGTGAGGGCTAAAAGAGATAATTGTTTGTCTGCCGAAATTCTGAAAAGAAAAAGAAGAGAATTTTGTTTTTGAAAATAGTTGGCTTTGTTTCATTTTTTCAAATCTGCTTGAACTACGCCAGTATGATTCTCACCGGATGTGGGATACGTAGGCAACCCTCATCGGGTCCAACTTCTCCTTTTGCAAAAATAGCCCAAAAAGAACAAAAATATTATTGTTTTTACTGTGAATAAGTAAGGTGATGTTATTCTTGTCTAAAATAGTCGAATGTCCCCAAAAGAGCGCCAGAAGGGAAAGAACAGCTGCATGTGGTCTCTTTTTCAATTTTTTGACCGGTTGTCGAGTACAATTTTAAAATCTTCTTCCCCGAAGTGCTGAAAGGCCGTATTTGCTAAGCCGGATGTTTGTTTTTGGAATGAAAACTTTTGGGGAAAAAATGAAGTGTGTTAATCTTTTCTTGAGTCAAAATGAGTTATTAAATCACCCTATTAAATGTGCAGGATGAGCACAAACGAAAATGAACCCTTCGCAGCTCTTGAGGAAATTCCTTTACAACTTCATATGTGGTGGAATGATTTAGGAAAAGGTAGTAGAGGAACTGTGATTAAAGTATTGGGTGGTCTTGTCGGACAGTTGAACATCAAGCCAAGATTGGACATAATTGAAGCCTTGATACCCTTTTGGGATCCGACTTGAAATGTGTTCCGCTTTTCTGATTTTGAGCTCACACCCACACTAGAAGAAATTGCGGGTTACGCCGGCCTCAATGGAAATATTTGAAGTCGGTATCCGGTGTCACCAAGGCCGGTATCTCCCCACCAGTTTCTGGATATGTTGAGTGTTAGCCGGGATATCCAGGATAAGAATTTATCTGAAGGGTCATGCACTTTTCAGTTCTTGTACCAACATTATGGTAACCCTCAAGGCTTTGAAGCACCGAATACTGGTTTGACTCATGCTGGAAATAAAGATAAATGGGAGGCAAGGCGAGGCTTGGTCTTTATAGTAGCCTTCTTGGGAGTTATAATCTGTCCGCGAAAAGACCGCAACATAAAACTGGGCCAAGTGGGAATGGCTGATGTCGCAATCTAGAAAGCTAATGGAACTCTGGATCCCTTGATTTTGTCTGAAATTTACCGAGCTTTGACCATCTGTCGAGAAGGCGGAAAGTTCTTCCAAGGTTGCAACTTATTACTACAGTTGTGGATACAGGAACATCTCTGCCACCGGGCCGGGTATATGAATTATGGCATGACCGGTTTGAACTGCATCGAAGAATTTGAAAGCCGAGTGGTGGGTGTTGGATTTCCCGAGGGTATCGAGGCTTGGTTGGAACGTTTGAGCTCTTTGACTTCTGATAAAATTGAATGGGTGTTCGGATGGCTCCCTATCACCGAAGTTGTGTACATGTCAGCCGAAGTATGTTATCTTCTCATGATGGGCATCCGGAGCATCCAGCCATATGCTCCTCATAGGGTTTTGCGTCAATTGGGCAGATTTCAAACTGTCCCCTATGATGAAGATTTGAGTGGACATGTCGTTGAATTGGGCCTAAAGGCCGTATTTTCGGAAGGAAGAGTTCGACAAGTGTGGAATGAATGTAGATTTCTTGAACCTAAGACTATAGTGTGGGATCTAGCTAGAGGCAAAGTAGACCCCAAGTACATTATTTGGTTTGGTAAAATGTTCCATATTCCTGAGAGACCTGCTAAGAGAGCTCATGTTCAACAATTCACCAACGACTCGCAAGAGCAGTGGGCTGGTTGGTAAAAGAAGAAAGCTTCAGGGCCAAAATAAGTAAACTAGAGGGACAAATCAGGGACCTCAAATTTGGCAACAGTATATAGGCTGCCACAGATGAAGGGGAAAAGAAAAAACTAACTCAAGAAAATGAATCCCTCAAAGCTCAAATCCAGAAAATGAGAATAGCTGCTAGAAACCCGAAAAGAAGCCGAGCGGACGAAAGGCTTATAAACAGTCTGAGAAAGAAAGCACTTGAGTGTCAAGATGACCTAGAAAAGTCTGAGCCAGTCTAGCAAAAGTCCGGGCCCAATTGGCAAAGAACGCAGAAGGGCAGGCACAGTTTGTGCATCAAATGAAAAGAAAATATGAAGGGACAATCACCAATCTGAAGAGAAAGTTAACTACCCTTGAGAATGAGGCAGCCGAGCAGGTCAAGGACTTTAAAGCTGATAGGGAACATTGCTATGCTTTGATGGCTCAGATGGAGGAAGAAATGTAACAATTGCAAAATCAAAACCATCACGACACTCAGGTATTAGAAGCCAGGAAACAGCAGGTCAGGCGTCTGCTTCAGGAAAAGGGTAGAATCCTAGAGAGGGTTAGAGCCATTGCCGACTACCTTGTCATGAAATGCCAAGCATGTGAGGGCATGACTCGAACCACTTTCTTCGCTGCAGTGATGACATTCGTCCGCCAGATAATGAGTGATTTGGAGCGACTTTAAGGGGATCTCGCATATAGGCCCATGGCGAGACCGAATGATGTCCCACGGGCCCCAGGAGTCGAAGTCTTAATGTATTCCTGATTTTTCACTTATCGAGTCTGTATTTTGGTTTATTTTGAGTCTGTTCGCAGGTTTTCCAAGAAAATGAGCAGTTTGAAGTCTTTTGTATAGAAAGTTTAGGAGTTTTTATTAATGAAAATCGAAAATTCCCCTAAAAAAATTTGTTTCTTTTTTTTTCGCACTTATTTTCTTGAACTACGTAATGATCTGATTCACGCGGCGTCGTGATACGTAGGCAATCCTCATTAGATCCGATCATGATTTTGTAAATAATTCCAATAAGAGAGGGATGTGAAAAGAAAGACCCAGAAGAAAAACCCAAAAAAGAAGAAAAGAGAGCCAAAGGAAAATCAAAGGAAAAATGAGAAAAGAGAGCGAGAAAAAAAAAAGAAAAAAAAGTGGAAGATTGGGAAGTGGAAAAAAGAGAAAATCGGGGAAAATAAATAAAGCCGGGATGAAACATGTAATCTTTGCAAAACACGTAGAAACACATTTGACTGTATAGGTGCATCACACCCCAATGTGCGATTACCTATGTGTTATTTGCTTCAAACTGACCGGTTTGTTGTCTACTGTTAAGCTCAGGTTTTATAGAAAGGTGGTTGGTTTTGTGGTAGTCTGGCTTTGCATCCATACTTCACGAGGTCGAAGGGAAGCATTGAAATGTCTTCAGAAATGACTCTGCCAATAGTTCCTATTGAGGATGAGAGTCCGATCTCGGGCATCCCAACTTCAGAATCGGCAGCTGCCGAAGAAAATAGGTTACTGCGTCTCCGCATGATGGAAATATGGGATGCTTGGGCAAACGGAAGAGAACCACCAAGTGCAATCCCTGGATTTCCCGAGCTTTTTCCCAGGGCAAGTGGGACCTCCAACATCCCCATAAACTATCCAAATACCCCACTAGGATACCCTACTATTTCCGCCAACTTTGTGGGAACACCTTCTGAGGCTCGCCCCCAGGTGTTATCTTCAGGTGCAGCTTCGAATATCTTCACAGCTCCGCCTTGCTCGGCTTCGGCACAGCCTACACTGCCCAGGCCTAACTTTGACCCATTATCCTTCACCTTCCAAACACCATCTTTCCCACTAGAACCTACACAGTTTCCTACCTATACTTACTCTCAACCACCCCGGTATGAGTTCACCGCAGGTCAAGAGAAAGCCACCAAAACCCCTGAGCAAGAGGATATGGCGAGAAAGATGAGAAGCATGGAGCAGAGTCTCAAAAACATACAGGGTTTGAGTGGACAAAAAAGTATATCCTATGCCAACTTATGTATGTTCCCTCACGTGCATCTACCATTGGGATTTAAAACCCCGAAGTTTAAGAAATATGACGGGCACAAAGATCTCATTGCCCACCTCAAAAGGTATTGCAACCAGTTGCGAGGAGCGGGCAGAAAAAAGGAGCTCCTCATGGCTTACTTTGGAGAGAGTTTGGCCGGAATTGTGTCTGAATGGTATATGGATCAAGATATATCCCGTTGGCATATCTGGGATGACCTTGCTTGTGACTTCGTCAGGTAGTTTCAATACAACATTGATATTGCCCCTAATAGGAACTCATTGACAAATCTAAAGAAGAAATCCTCGGAAAGCTTCCGAGAGTACGCTGTCAAATGGCGTGAGAAAGCCTCCAGGGTAAAGCCTCCAATGGATGAGATTGAAATGGTCACGGTCTTCCTCCAAGCCCAAGAGGCTGATTATTTTCAAAACATGATGTCCGCAATGGGTAAGCCGTTCGCCGAAGACATCAAAATTGGCAAAATGGTTCAAAACGGGTTGAAAACAGGGCGAATCTTGAGCCAATCCGCCATCAGATCTATCTCCCAAGCCATTCAGGGTGGGTTTGGAGGAGTAGCGAAGGGCAAGAAAAAGGAAGAAACATCCATGGCAGCGTCGGGTTCAAGAAAACACCGTACTCCTAGATCCCTTTTCTTAGAAAGAACCCCGCAGCACTATTACCCCCACCAAGACGTAGCCTATGCTCCTCAGCCATACACGGTTATGAATGCTCAACCTTATGTCTGGCCACAACAACAAGCCAATCGGAACCAAGCTCCATTTTCTAGAAACCAGCCTCCTTACCAAAACCACTACAACCCCCGACCTCCACAAAACAATTTTCACCCTCGTGAACTGCCCAAGAGGCCAAAGTTTACGCCAATTGGCAAACCCTACTCCAGCATGTTACCAAAGCTTGTTCAAATGGGTCTGCTACAGACTATTCCTCAAACCAGGCAAAACCCAGCATCACCCGCTTACAGAGTCGGTACCCAATGCACCTATCACTTAGGGGCAGAAGGGCACGACATGGATGATTGCCGGAATCTGAAGAGAGCTGTAGAGAACTTGATAGAACAAAGGAAGATAGTGCTAATGGATGAAGATATTCCCAATGTGACTAACAACCCACTGCCGACCCACAACAACGAGCTGGTATTCTGAATGATTTGTGAGGACAAGGAATTTGACCCAGCGTTGAAGGCCATAATTGCCATCGTTGATGTATAAAATAAACCAAAGGCTTCCCCGAAGCAAGACAAAGGGGAGAAAGAGAACAAAACCACCCCTCCAAAGTCAGAGAAGAAAGTTGAAATTGAAACTGGGGCAACGCCTCCCAAAGATGTTGTCCTCTATATCCCTCGAGGCCGCAAAGAAAGGCAGATGACTTTGAGTCCTCCTAGGAGATTTGAGCTGAATAAGACAACCCAAATGTATGTGCCCAAGGGAGATTATGTGATGCGGGGGCCAATTAATCCACCAAGGCTGAGTGAGCCTATGGTTATTGGCCGCGCACCACAAAAACCCATAACGGATCCTACCGCTGTGCCCTGGAACTACAACAAATTAGTGGTGACTTACAAAGGCAATGAAATCTCGGGAGAAGTTCAAGAAAATAACCCAGCTGAAAAGTATTTCAAATTAGAAGAGGTGAACAATGCCACTAGAAAGCGCTTCCCATCTAAGAAGCTCGTGAGTACCGAAGAAGCGGAGGCCTTTTTTCAAAAGATGAAAATGGCGGATTATGAGGTGATCGACCAGCTTCGAAAATTTCCCGCACAAGTCTCCTTGTTATCTCTGTTGATGAACTCCACCGAACATCAAAAGGTATTGATCAAGACCCTTAACGAAGCATATGTGCCTGTTGAGACTTCTGTAGAGCAGTTGGAGAGAATGGACGAAATATTTTTTGCAATCAACCAGATCTCCTTCAGCAAAAATGACTTGCCCCCAAAAGGGGCCGCACATAACAAAGCCTTGTACCTGACAGTCAAGTGCGAAGGGTACTACGTGAAAAGGGTTATGTTGGATGGAGGCTCTAGGGTAGACATTTGCGCACTCTCAACTCTGTAGCGTATGGAAATCGGTACCGAAAGAATTCGACCCAACAAGTCTGTGTACGTGTCTTCGATGGTATCAAAAGGGACACAATTGGAGAGATTGATCTGATTCTGACCATCGGCCCAGTAGACTTTGAAGTAACCTTCCAGGTTCTAGACATGGACACATCCTACAAATTTCTTTTGGGAGGCCGTGGATCCATACAGCGGGGGCTGTACCCTCTAATCTTCACCAGATGGTGAAGTTCGAGCACGAGGATCAAGAGATTGTGGTCCACGGGGAAGATGAGAAATCAATTTATCGGGACCCATCAGTCCCGTGTCTTGAAGCAAGAGAGGGGAGTGAGCACATAGTCTATCGGGCCTTTGAAATCGTGGTCGCTGATCAGTGCGAAGAAGGAAAATCTTGCCCTCAACCTTTCCTTTCTAATGCATCAATCATGGTGGCCAAATAAATGATCAGGCACAGCTACAAACCTGGGAAAGGGCTTGGGAAATCGTTGCAAGGAATAGCTGAACCTATCACCCTGACCGCAAGTGAAAGGTTCTTTGGGGTAGGCTTCCGACCTATTCCAGCTGATGTAAGATGGGCAGATGATAGAAAGAATGATGGTTGAGTCTTGCCTCAGCCGGTTCCGCATCTGTACAGAACATTTGTCAAACCGAAATACAATGAGGAAGAGGAAGATAAGTCCTTTACGACCGAAGAAGTCGAAGAAATCTATGGGGCCATGAGGAAAATACTTTATGAAGCCCACATGGTTCAACCAGGGGAAGGCTCAAGCACCGCTGAGGTGCTGTATATGGGACCTAATGCCAAACTGCAGAATTGGAAGGCTACGCCATTCCCAATCAGGCAGGAGTCCCGGTAGACCAGTCCTGTCACTTTTTCTGCATCACGAGTTATTCCAGGGTATAACTCCGATGTTTTCTTTAGTTTCTTGTCTTTTAATTTCCAATGTAAACCCTGTTATCTTCAAATTCAATGAAATGAAATCAATATTTCATCGTGCATCTTCCTCTATTCCTTCTGATCTTCATTATTTTCTCTTTTATTTATTCATTAAGTTCTAATAATGCGGCTTTAAATAACATGACATGCTTATGGACTTCATGCCCAGATTCAAACACGTTGTCTAACTGTGAGATAATGAACCAAGAGCCAGAATACGATGAAGAGGACGCTTTTAGGAAAATAAATCGAGAATTGGAATAATTTGAGAATAAACCTAAGCTGAACTTGAATGATACTGAGCTGGTTAATTTGGGTAGTTCTGAAGAAGTCAGGGAAACCAAGATAAGCATTCACACAGATGAGAAAACCCGGGACGCATTAATCCAACTTTTGTTTGAGTTCAAAGATGTGTTCGCTTGGTCATATGATGACATGCCAGGGCTAAGTGTTGATTTGGTGGTTCATAAGTTGCCAACTTACCCCGATTGCCCCCCTTTCCAGCAAAAGCAAAGAAAGTTTAAAACTGATATCAGTGATAAGATCAAAGAAGAGGTCACGAAACAGTTGAAATTAGGGGTAATCCGGGTAGTTCAATACACTACATGGTTAGCCAATGTGGTCCCAGTACCGAAGAAAGACGGAAAAACCCGGGTGTGTGTGGATTACAGAGATTTAAACAAGGCAAGTCCCAAAGATAACTTCCCTTTGCCGAACGTCCACATCCTTGTTGATAATTGCGCCAAACATGAGATACAGTCCTTCGTGGATTGTTACGTAGGATATCACCAAGTGTTAATGGATGAAGAAGATGTAGAAAAGACAGCTTTTACCACACCTTGGGGTATATACTGTTACAGAGTTATGCCATTTGGTCGGAACAACACCGGGGCAACCTATATGAGGGCCATGACTGCCATTTTTCATGATATGATGCACCAAGAGATAGAGGTGTATGTGGACGATGTAATCATCAAATCCAAAACCCATGACAACCACGTTTGGGACTTGAGAAAATTCTTTGAGCGGTTGTGCAAATATGATTTGAAGCTGAACCCAGCCAAATGTGCATTTGGGGTACCATCCGACAAACTCTTGGGATTCATAGTCAGTCGGAGGGGCATTGAGTTGGACCCAACAAAGATAAAGTCTATTCGAGATTTGCCTCCTCCAAGAACCAAGAAAGATGTTATGAGTTTGTTGGGAAGATTGAACTACATCAGCCGATTCATTGCTCAGTTGACATCCATGTGTGAACCCATACTCAAATTGCTGAAGAAAGATGCGGCAATCAAATGGACAAATGAGTGCCAAGAAGCTTTTGATAAAATCAAAGAATATCTATCGAATCCACCAGTATTGGTCCCACATGAGCCAGGGAGGCCTCTGTTCCTGTATCTGACAGTCTTGGAAAATTCTTTCGATTGTGTCCTCGGGCAACATGATGTGACTGGAAAGAGAGAGCAGACCATTTACTATTTAAGCAAGAAGTTTACCAGTTATAAAGCCAAGTACACTTTACTAGAAAGAACTTGCTGCGCTTTAACTTGGGTCGCTCAGAAGCTGAGGCATTATTTGCAAGCCTACACCATTTACCTCATAACCAGGTTGGATCCTTTAAAATACATATTCCAGAAGCCAATGTCCACTGGGAGGTTAGCAAAGTGGCATATCCTGCTCGCGGAATTTGACATAGTCTATGTCACTCGCACTGCAATGAAAGCCCAGGCGTTAGCAGATCATTTGGCTGAAAATCTGGTCGATAATGAATACCAACCTTTGAACACTTACTTCCCAGATGAAGAGGTAAATTCAGTTGAGGCAATATCTGAAGACACCAATGCTTGGAAAATGTTCTTTGATGGAGCAGTAAACGCAAATGGTGTTGGAATTGGGGCAATCTTGATCTCACCCACTGGTCAGCATTATCCGGCCACAGCTAGGCTTCGGTTTTTCTACACAAACAACATCACCGAGTATGAATCCTGTATTATGGGTACGAACATGGCAATCGACCAAGATGTCGAAGAGTTGGTAATCATGGGAGACTCGGATCTGATTATCCGACAAGCTCAAGGAGAATAGGAAACCCGAGATGTCAAGCTTATTCCTTATAGGCAATATGTGGAAGATCTTGGCAAGCGATTCAAGTCAATAGAGTTCAGGTACATCCCTCGTTTCCATAACGAACTGGCTGATGCGCTTGCTACTTTGGCCTCGATGCTGCCATACCCAGACAATACCCACATTGATCCCTTGGAAATCCAAATCAAGGAAAGGCATGACTACTGTAATACAGTTGAGGAAAAACCAAATATTCAGCTATGGTATCATGACATCAAAAGATTCTTAAAAATCAAAGAATACCCCGAGCAAGCCAGTGGAGACCAAAAGAGAACCATTAGACGTCATGCAAGTGATTTCTTTTTGAGTGGTGATGTCTTGTGCAAAAGGACCCCCGGACCTCAACTTGTTAAGATGTTTTGACGCCGAAAAGCTGGAAGAATCATGTACGAAGTGCACAGAGGAGTGTGTAGACCCCACATGAACGGGTATGCTTTGGCAAATAAAATCCTTCGAGCGGGTTATTACTGGATGACCATGGAAAAAGACTGCTTCAGTTTTGTTCGGAAATGTCATCAGTGTCAGGTGCACGGTGATTTGATTCATGCACCTCCCACAGAACTACATCCCATGTCAGCGCCTTGGCCATTTGTTGCTTGGGGCATGGACGTCATTGGGCCAATCGAGCCAAAAGCCTCAAATGGGCACAGATTCATATTGGTCGCCATCGACTATTTCACGAAATGGGTTGAAGCAATCACTCTCAAATCTGTCACCAAGAAATCTGTGGTAGATTTCGTGCACTCCAATCTTATCTGTCGTTTTGGCATTCCTACAACTATTATCACAGACAATACTGCAAACTTGAATAGTCATTTGATGGGGGAGATATGCGAACAATTCAAGATAACGCATCAAAACTCTACGCCTTATCGGCCTAAAGCCAATGGTGCCGTCGAAGCAGCAAACAAGAACATAAAAAAGATTTTGAGAAAGATGACTCAAAGTTCCAGGCAGTGGCATGAAAAGTTGCCTTTTGCATTGTTGGGGTATCGCACTACTGTGCACACGTCGGTCGGAGCAACCCCGTACCTTTTGGTTTATGGCACTGAAGCCGTAATACCTGCGGAAGTTGAAATCCCTTCTCTTCGGATCATTGTTGAAGTTGAAATTGAAGATAGTGAGTGGGTCAAAGCCCATCTGGAATAGTTAACCCTGATAGATGAAAAGAGAATAGCCGCAGTCTGCCACGGGCAGTTGTACCAACGAAGAATGGACCGTGCCTACAACAAGAAAGTACGGCCCAGAAATTTTGAAGTGGGACAACTTGTTTTAAGGCGTATTCTTCCTGTAGACGCGTGATTTTTGACCCTCCCCGAGAATTTTCACATTTTTAGCGTGAATATTTGAAATTGGGTCTAATATAGCTATTTTAACTATTTTACTTTATTTCGTCGCAAAAGAAAAATTACAAAAAATATATATATGAATTTTAGTTTATGTATTTCTCATAAACTTGAAAAAATACAAAAAAACTGTACTTTATATAATTTCGAAAAATACCAAAAAATATAGTTCTATTAATGTTTTGTAGTCATTTTAATTTTGGAAAAATACAAAAAAAGATTACTTCATATTTTATCTTTATATAAAAAACAAAAATTACAAAAATAGTTTTAAAAAAATATTAAAAAAGATATAGTTTTGTTTTAAATATTAGTCTTTTGGTAGTTATTTTGCTTACATAGGATTAGTTGAGCAATGTCATGTTCTTAATCTCGGGTCCGGGCAAAAGAATAATATTCGGGTTCAAACTACCCGTTTTTTAGGCCTAATTTTCGGGCCTAGCCCATAATAATCCGAGTCCACCACACATGGGGGACACGCGTGGGGAACACGGATGGAACACAACACACGCGGAACCCCACCACGCATGGGGAACACATGTCTTGGACCCTTACACGTGTGGGGTCCATTTTCGTGGCGAAGGTTACAAAATGCACGGGGAAAACAGAAGTGAAGGGGACAGGGGGACAGATTTTTTTGAAAAAATAGGA